TATGAATATTCTCAATCCGTGGATGCTTGAATCCGTGGATAAAAGTATCAGCGGATATGGAGGGCCAAGTGTGTATGTGTGTGTCTGCAGCGTGTTTTGAACCCCTGTGTTGAGAATCAAGCCCCACGAAGCCCAATGGTGCCTGAAGGCCTATTCTCTTACACATTGGTAAGACTCCCAGCTTCAGCTCTCACTAGCAGCAGCAGCTTGATGAACGGTCAGGGTTAATGGAGCAATTTCCTTGCGACCTCGCTGAACAAAATCCCTCTCTTTGTGCTGCTGTGTACCAGAAATTCTGTACACTGTGCCAGGGATAGGATGAAGCGGCCTATAGCCAGTTCGCAAAATGGCCATGAATATAACAAACTTTGTATTATAGTTTACATAACAATAACAAATGTTGTATTATTAATTTGCATTGTTTTAAGTATGCTGCCTTGAGTCCCATTATGAAGAGAAAGGCGAGAGATATAAATGATGACTATGATAATGATAAGATAGCCAGTGTGGCCTAGTGGTTTAAGTGTTGGACTGCGACTCTAGAGACCAGGGTTTGAATCCCAGGACAGCCACTGGATGACCTCGCGCAAGTCACACTCTCTCAGCCTCACAGGAAGGCAATAGCAAACCTCCTCTGAACAAATCTTGCCAAGAAAACCCCATGAAAGGTGGGTCATCTTTAGAGTTGCCATAAGTTGGAAATGACTTGAAGGTACGCAGCAACAATAATAAGGAAGAGCAGGAACAACAGGTGCTCCTTTCTAACAATTCGGCTCTTTGTGGGCAAAGGGTGCCGCTCTATCCGCTGCGACTCCATGATGAAACAGGAAAGCCATTTAAGGTTCCCGGAAGTGGCATTATGCGGCTGTGCGCCATTTCCGAACCCCATGGTGTTTGGACTGTCGCGTAGGGAAGACGTCATCTCCAGCTGGTTGAGCGGGAAACTTGAGAAGGTCAGAACGACGCTCTCTGCCCGTCCAACGTAAGACTTCTTAGGCTGCGTACGCACTGCAGGAATAATCCGGTTTGGCACCGCTTTAACTGCCCTGGCTCAATGCTATGGAATTCTGGGATTTGTAGTTTTGTGAGACAATTAGCCTTCTCTGTCAGAGAGCTCTGGTGCCACAATAAACTACAGTTCCCATGATCCCTAGCGCTGAGCCAGGGCAGTTGTAGCGGTCTCAAACTGGATTATTTCTGCAGTGCGGACGCAGCCTTAATTACTTGGAAGCGGGGTTAACTGGTCTTTTGGATGCTTCTTTTCCCTCCTTTTTCCTCTCCGTTTTTCCTTTCTTTCCGAGGCAATAGTGTTTGGCTGCATTCTGCGAGGTGACCAGCTGTCCTCCTTTTCCAGGACATGTCCTACCTTTCAGCCATCCTGAAGCATGCCTAAGCAGCATGAATTTATATTTCTATGAGCCTGAACAGACTGCCAGAAATAATCTTTTTTGAGGCCTCTTTTACTGCCCTGGCTTAGTACTAGGGAATCATGGGAAGTGTCGTTTATTGTGGCACTAGAGCTCTCTGACAGAGAAGGCTCAATGTCTCAGGAAAATACTACAATTCCCATGACTCCCTAGCGTTGAGTCTATCCAGGCTCTATGGCTGTTTTGAAGTTTTATTTGGTCATGCCCTACATTTTTTCATCAAGGCCCTACATTTTGCAGTGGCTTGTGGTCCTCCTTGGAAGGGAGGACATCTATTCACCCTGTTTGAGGCCGCTTTAGCTGTCCTGGCTCAGTGCTGTGGAATTCTGGGAACTGTAGTTTCGTGAGACATTTAATAGCATTCTCTGTCAGAAAGAACTCTGGTGCCACAAATAAACTACAGCTCCCAGGATTCCCTGGCACTGAGCCACAACAGTTAAAGTGATCTCAAACTGAGTTAATGGCAGCTATGTGGCAGCAGCCTTGAGAGTGAAACAGAGGTTCAAATCTTTCCTCATCTCCAGAGGCCACTGAGGTTCTGTACAATAAGAGTTATTAACCTACCTCACAAGGTTGTGAGGAAAATATATACAATGAAGTGAGCTGGAACCTGCTTAGGCCAATCTCAGTTTCTTGTAGGATACGATTATAATAAAGAACAGGCATATGCATATTGCTGTCTATCTTTATTCATGGAGTTGTCATAATAAATAAAGGATGCAATGTTTTATATATGTATATATATATGTATATATATACATATATAATATAATACTATATATATATATATATATATATATATATATATATATATACATATATAAGACAAGGAGAGGCTCTTTCTGATGCTGTTCAAGAAATCCAAGCCTATATTATGTAAGCAAGTGGTGAAACTGGCAGTTCTCTCTCATCGGCGCAAGAGATATTTTTGAGTTTTGACTCCTAGAAGTTGGGAGGATAAAAGATAAAAGAAGTGAAAACCATTGCAATGGTGATTAGGGAGTTTGTAATGCCAAATGTATGGAGGACTAAAAGTTCTGTACAATAAGAGTTATTAATTTTGGAAACGGTGACTAGAGTTGCTGGAGTTCGTTTCTTAAATAAGAAAGGTAAACATTTTAAACTGTATTTTATTATTTTAAACGTATATTTTGTTTTAATATTGGAATAATTTAATTCCATTTTAATGTACCTTTTTTGTATGCTTTTAATTGTACTGTTTTTCAATATTGTAAGCCGCCCTGAGTCACAGTTTTAGAAAAAGGGTGGGATATAAATAAATAAATGTATAAATAATTGTTCCACTGTGCCTTACATGAAGGACTTTTAGCAAGAGTTAAAATACACCGATAAGGAAGGCTTCATTTGCTAAATGGGAGCTGATAGTCCAGTTTCTACAGTTTATTTTCATACTGTAAGTTAGCAACTTGTTCCTGTTCTTTCAATCATTTGATCATCTATTTAACATAGGTCCAAAACATACTGCAGAAATAATCCAGTTTGATACCGCTTTAATTGCCCTGACACAGTGCTAGGGAATCATGGGAATTGTAGTTTCTTGTGCACCAGAGCTCTCTGACAAAAGGCTAAATGTGTCACAAAACTACAGTTCCCAGAATTCCCTAGCATTGAGCCAGGGCAGTTAAAGCCGTCTCAAACTGGGTTATTTTTGCAGTGTTTTGGACCTATGTTGGTGAAAAAGTTTTGGAGGATCTCAGTATATGATTTTGCTTTTAGCAGATCTCATGCTTGTGCTGTACTCTTCCACTTTCCTCTTTTGTAGATGTGAAGGTACAGCTTTGTAAACTTTTTTAGCCTCCTGCTGATAGTCCTTTTTGGAGAGAGAAATAAGCAAGATTAGTAAATGCTTTCCTTAAATCAAGACATATATAGAGATTCTGTGCATAAATGGAGTCTGCCTTCATAACTTTTAACCAGTCACATTTCTGATTAAATGAATTAGTCAACTAACTTGCATATTTTTCATTGAAATCTTACTGTTTCTTCAATGAAAGATGTCTCAGAATGTGAGACACCTTGTGGTAGTTGTATGGAATTAAAGTGATTGAACCAAAAAACATGCTTTAGAATTATTATTTTTATAATTAAGGGTTTGTGGCTGATACATATGATGTGGCTCATGCTTAATCCTCCAACTGTATTCCTATACACACATTTGGGGATAAGGTCTATTAAAAATAATAAGGAATCCAGTAGCACTTTTGAGACTAATTGGGAAGAAGATATTTCTAACATAAGCTTTCAGTGACTCTGTCCACTTCATCAAATGCATGGAATAAAGCTACTGCATTAGACATATACATACAAATTAGGAAATTCTCTCTCAGACCTCCAAGCAGCAGTTATTGAAGTTATTTTTTAAAATGAAGATTAGGAAAAGAAATACGTTAATTAGTATGTATATACACAAATTCCAATCTGTTCGTAGTGGTTTGAACAAAGATAATAGTTTTTCGACACACTGCACATATTAAAACACTAATGTTCAGTACTACACACACACGAGATTCTTATCATGCCTGCATTATAATAATATTTTACTAGTCCTGTGCCTGTCACTGAATTAGACAAAGAATTTCCTCACTATACATAGGTTTACCTGCTTAGCTGAGCTTGTATGCAAAACCAATCTCTCCCTTTTTTCTTCAAACTACTCTTTACTGCTAAATAGATGTTTATTACCACTGTAATATTTTTTCCATTTCTATCATTTTTCAGACACACACATATAGTATATCTGCCCATAGAAACTTCACTTCATACATCTGATGATGTGGGCTGCATCCATGAAGCTTCTGCTAGAAATTTCTTCTTCTCAGTTACTCTAAAAGGTGCCACTAGATTCTTTTACGTATTTTTATGCTAAACAAATAACAGAGAAATATGTCTTAAGATAACACTGCTTTCTGTGATTCTAAACATATTGTACCTGGTTTGGAGTTAGTCCTATTGAACATAGTGGGACTTACCTGTGAATACACATGCACAGGGAATTCAAGTTGCTGATTACATTGTGTAAAAGTGGTTATAAACAAGATACATGCATCTCTCAGCATTCCAGCCGTTAAGTTCAGTTTAAACAGAGGCAGGATGGCCATCTGTCAGGAATGGTTTGAATTTGAGTTCCTGCATGGCAGGGAGTTGGACTGGATGGTCCTTGTGGTCTCTTCCAATTCTATGAATTTATGACTTAAAATAGGCTATTTTCCTCCTCAGGTAATATGAAATTTGAAAGAAAATTCATCAATATACTCTTGTTTCACCAAAGTGATGGCTTATCAGGAGTTTACTGTGAGTATTTGATATTTTAAGTATATTTAAATATGTTTTATATACACTCAGCCCTCCACATTTACGGCTTTGATTTTTGTGGATTTGATCATTTGCCGATTTGATGAATATGCTCTCTCTAGGATCCTATAGGTCCGGCAGAGAAATTCTGCTGGAGGTTGACCACAGAGTTGCAGTGGAGGACCTAAACATTCCTAGAGAAGACACTTCTCTAGGCATCTGTAGGTTCTACAACATGATTCTATGGTCAAATTTTGACAGATGTTGACCTCAGAATTCTGGGAGGACCGAGAAATTCCTAGAGAGGTGTTCTCTCAGGTTAAAAAAGTACTGTTTATTCATTTGCATTTTTTTTCCACTTTCATGGGGGTCCTGTACCTCTAACCCCAGCAAATGTGGAGGTACAAGTGTACTTAAATAGTTCACATTTACCAGAATATTTCAAATTACTCATTGTTTAAAAATATAATGCACTAAAAGTGCATTCACATGCTTTCAATTAAATGTGTATATTTTTATTTATCTAATAGGTTTTATATACGCATCAGAAGACTAAAAAATCTAAAGTGTGGCAAGATGGAATTTTGAAAGCCACTGTTGGGGGAAATAAGGTAAAGTGCGTGCATCCAGTACAGCATTATACTAGTAGCATTGGTAACTGTCTCTATTATGTTATTTAATGAAATAATTATCTATTTTTTTCTTGTTCTTACAGGCAATCTTATGTGATGAAAGAGGACAAGTTTTAGATAGTATTTTTGTGAAGTTCAAGGTATATGCTTTGTTTTTCTTACTGTACTTATTATATATGGATAGTAACTTTAGATGCTATT